TCAACGTCTCCATAAAAGCGTTCTATCAAATGATCATGATTCGTCAATGTAGGTGCGTAGGCCTGTGCCACCTTCATCTTGTACCTTTTAATAAACCTAATTATGATACTTGTCACCCTCTCACTGGTGCTATAAAATTTCTCTATGTTGCCAGCGATATTCTTGTGCATGAAAAACCCCACCCCTAGTTCTTTTCTGTGAAGTAATCAATGGTAGCATAGGATGTGTCCCTTCTTCAGCACTGTATAAGCCTCCCATGTCCTAAATTCACTGAGCCCAATTATATCCCACTGAACACCCTCTATTTCCTGGAATAGGACAGCTAGACTAGCCTCACTTGATAGTATTCTAGCGTTGAAGGTAGCCAAGTTCAGATTCCGATAGCGGCCTGTCCGGACCCACAGATTCTAAGCACCCTTCGCTGCGCACAGGTGTGACGGACGCCTTGAACAATAGCTGCGCAGCCGCTGGTTACTGAGGGCCAAGGGTTAATTGCTGTAGTCATGGAAGGTAGTGGCCAAGTACTGCACCAGGGTGGCCAATCCTGCCCTGGTGAGGAAGTGTATTACGGACAGGTGGTCGCCAGTGAGGTCACACCCCAGAAATCTTTTTTTTTTTTCAAACAATTCCTTTATCGCACGTTTTAAGTAAATGTATACGATAGGGAATGGTCCGGCATCTGCATTCGAACCGCATTTTGTCGTTGCATACTAGGCTGCTGCGCTATATCTAAGTAGGGAGTTGTGTTGCACTTTCTTCACACTGTAGAACGCCACTTGACCCCCCATCAGCTCTCAACTTCATCTGACTCGTATACCTCGCGTGGCTTTTTCTTTTAAATGCGAAGCATTTCTTAGCAAACTTCGGCGACTTTGCGCCTATCTATCTATCTATCTATCTATCTATCTATCTATCTATCTATCTATCTATCTATCTATCTATCTATCTATCTATCTATCTATCTATCTATCTATCTATCTATCTATCTATCTATCTATCTATCTATCCGCCTACGACTTCTAGCTCTCGTGCCCGTTTGGATAATGGTATCAATACCAAACTTGGTATGGCATAACATGACCGCTCTTGCGGTGGTCTCATTTACACGGCATGTTGCAAAACTGGTATTGTATGACATGATTGCATGCCGAACACAAGCGACAGAACCTAACATGAAAATCATGATATGCATGTCATGTAACAACATGGCTACATGCCAAGCTCACGATGCGTTCGCGGGCGTTTCGCCAGCGTCATATATACCAAATTCGGTATTACGGTACGTGAATGGATGACGAAGGTATGTGACTAGTTCAAACAAGATAAACATGAGATGCGTGTCATGTGAGAAGATGACTACATGCCACAGTCAAGGCGCTAACACATTTCGACGTGACGCGGTGTGCGTGCTCACTGGCGTTCATTTCGTCGGGTCCCCTTGTTACTCCATGGGGTCACGCAGGCGTTGCCACGCCAGGCACCAGTCCTGCCATACACTCACAGGGGCGGGCCGCGCTGCGTTGCTTTGACGAATGCGCGTTTCAGCGCATCCGACGTCCCTCCGTCATGTAAAGAGGGAAACGCAGTGTTGTCTGGGTAATGAATCGGCGCGAAATGCAGCGTGTCGCATTTCGTGCCGGTTGCCATAGGGCCGCGCCGACAGACGCTGGTCGCACCTGGCAGCAGACTATACACCTTTTCACAGGAAGGAAAAAAAAAAAAAACACCGCCATGATGGGCTGTACGCAGGAGTACAAAGGCTGAGGGCGCAGCGTTTTCAGTGCATTTTCGAGGGGACGCGCCACTTCACGCAGCCCAAGGGGGCTATGGCGGCGCCAAGGGGGGCGTTTATGAAAAGGTGGATAGAGGGCTCGTGTATCCCTAACGTAGCGTCGCTTTGCCCAGCGTGCGCGCGCGTCACCGCTACATTGGTGTAATTGGACCCTTCATGATGCACTCGCGGCCGTTTTGCTAGCTCCATACATACCAAATTTGGTGTACGTGATGTCAATCGACGACGAAAGTATATGACTGGTGCAAACATGATAATGCTGACACGCGTGTCATGACGACTGAAAATAGCGCTAAAAAACGAGGACACAAGAAGAGGACACACAGCACAGGCGCTATATCGCCTGTGCTGTGTGTCCTCTTCTTGTGTCCTCGTTTTTTAGCGCTATTTTCAGTCGTCACAATGCACCAACAAGCCCAAATTTCGACAGTGTTGAACGCGTGTCATGTAAGAACATAACAACATACCACGCTCATAGCGTGCTCGCGGTCGTTTCGCTAGCTCCACATATACTAAATTTGGTATCACGTGACGTGAATAGATTACGAAGGTACACGACACATCCAAACATGATAATTATGACACGAAAGTCATGTACGGCATCATTTACCTCCACCTCGTAACGTTGTGCTGATTTTAAAATGACATATCAACATTTCACATCCGTGACGATAGTTATAGCACGAGAACAAAACGACGAGACAAAGACAAGAAGGACACGAAAGACACGAGCGCCCTAAGTCCTTCTTGTCTCTGTGTCCTCGTTTTGTTCTCGCGCTATAACTATCGTCATGCCATACCAACTAGCCCAAACTGTCACACTTCTCATCCGTGCTTCGCATATCATCGATTCCCACTGTACGTGGGACCTGCCAATTTTTTCTTAACTGTTTGAAAGTTCATTTTTCTTAAAAAAAAACGAAAAACCCACACGGCGTCGAAATTCTTCCCTTGCGATCTTAGGCCGGCTCAGTGCCCTGGATGACCATCCTTTTCGTGTGCTGCTGCCTGTCTCGCTCAAATTTGACATTGTTGTTTTTGAAGTGTCCGCAATGTCGAGTTTCGCCGATTTCGAGGAGTAGCCCATCTGCTTTGGTGTTTTCTGTCAACTGACGCGTTGCACGCTCCTGTTTTGCGAAGTAATCAGCTACTTTTATGCCATTGTAACGTTAAGTGTATACGTCGAGGGCGGTTGGAAGGCATGAGAAGTAAACGCGAAAAGTTTCGTACTGCTTAAGAATAGGCTGGCGCTGCCTTTGAGGTCGTATCCTAATTTTGTTGCCGTTCTCGATCAGTAATTAAAACATTGCTAAATAAATATAGAAGTATATAGAGTGGCCATCAGTCGGGAGTCAGATATGCTTACTATAGTGATTACATCTACAGTTAGCCTGATAACGTTAAGCAGTGGGAGAAAAGTTAAGCAGCGAATTGTTTCTAGTTCTAGATACAGCGAGAGGCAAGAAACTTCGTACGGAAGTAATGACGTGTTTGCATCACTCACCACAAAGCATCAGCTTGAATTGACCTCGACGACTCTCGGCACCACATAACGATAAGGCGGCACGACACCTGGGAATGGTATTCTTATCCTAATTCATTGTCTGCCAAATATGGTGCAGGGGCATGTAAAACTCTTTCTGTCGGGGAGTTACGATATTAATGTCATTGAGATGTACGTACATTTCATTATTTCTGTTCTTTTTTTTTCTTACATGAGCATATTTTAACATGTGGCTTATGTTGGAATTCTCTGTGCAAGTATTGTTCTAGCGAATTAACCCACAGCATGCATTGTCTGTTACGAATCCTTAACCAGCGATAGCGGCTAGGGATGTTTTCGCAGAAGTTTTTTTGTGAATCATTTCATTGAAAATAAAGCGCTTTTCTTCTAGCCCGTGACCATGCATAACACTTAGCGCTGTTTCAGTGCTGCTTGGTCGTCCGGGAATGGGTGGCGATCTGTCGTTAGCACATTTCGAGAAATGATGATGAAGCTGAGAGGATCACTACGTAGCCCGCAACGGGTCACAGACATTGGATTTCCGATCGTGCACGGCCGTAATAGTCAAGAGGCTTTGAACGTATGCGGTGAGCCGGCGCATCGTCTCGAGTTTTGCATCGAAGCGGAGCTCTTTTTGGCAAGGCCAGCCGCTACTGCGCAGTACACTCAAAGACAGGGCTCGAAGCACAACGAGGGTATAACTTTCTCTGCGGCGGTGTAGTCGATGCCGCGCGGCTGCAGCGACTCGGAGGACAATCACGTACGTCGTCTCTCGCTCCTCTCACGAGCGGGACCGTAACGAGCAGCTTTCCCATTCACCTGTCTCGAGTAACATGATGAATGGCCTGAGAAAAGCCCCGTGCCGCGACGGCAACCCGCGTTTTTTACGACGCCGCAGCGCGCGCCATATGCAGACGCCTCCGGCCGTGCATGCTAGAGGCTCCTCGTGGCACAGCCAGCCAGCGGAGAACGGCGAGGGACTGAACCGACGCGACCCTGGCGCTTGCGCCGCCAACCGGAAGTTCGCATCGGTTATATAAGAATCGCCGATACGGACGCGATTAGCCACGTCGCTTGCCTGTATTTTTGTTCGTGTGCGCGTCTTTTTCTTTCTGTTTCTCGCGAACACAGAGCGCCTAGCGACACCGCCGTGGAGTCGGCTGTCGACGGAGTGAACGCCGAGCCCGAGAGCCTTAAGTCACGGCGCTATTTTCAGAGTTCCAGTGTCAGGCGAACGACCGAGCATCGCAGCAGCGAACATGGGGAGAGAGTTCAGTGAAAAATAAATAAAAGTTGCTCTCTTCGGCGTTGCAGCTCCCGGGACGTCCGGGCGTCGTCTGCTCGAGCAGCGCCGTAAGCCGCAGGCAAACCATCCACTTCATCGCTCAGGCTAACTTTGCGATTGCTCCTCTTTGGTCGTATTTTATCTCGTATAAGGCCCTGATCACTTTGTGTTATCCAACACACAAAGCAGGGCTCGCACAAGAGAGAATGGTTGACTTGTTTTGCTTTCTTCGTATTTTGAGGTACGACCTCGGTAGCTTAAACGAAACGACCACCGACGCGCGCGCGCGCTGCGGGTGATGCGGCCTCACGTGGAGCGCAGGCTCCTCCTTCTTCAGCCACGTGATGCAATATACGTCACAAAACTGGCGCGCCACCATTGGCTCTGATGGGGCGGTGAGTGACGGCTAGGGTCGGTTTATCGCTCCTCCCTCGCTGCCTCGCTCGCTCGCACGCCCAGCGACCCACTGCAGCGGCTTGCGGTGATTATTTGGCCCGTACTACGCCACAGCTGAAATCCGCATTGATTTTGGCGCAGCTTTTTGTTTGGTTGGCCCAGCGAGTTGCTCTTCATCCTCCGCCATCATCTGCTCGTCCCGGTGGAATCGATAGAGGCTGCGCATCGCTTTTTTTTCGGCGCTGCCGTGGGACCCAGCTCGTTCGTTCGACGGTGGCCTTTCTCTCTGACGTGTGTCTTGTATCGCCGCGAGGAAAACCCGGAAGGAGCGTGCGTATTTTCTGTGATAACACTCGCCGTCGTCGACTGCCGCCACTGAGTCGTCCCCGCGCCAATTGTTGTCCCTGGAATAAGGATGCGCTTGCCGCCCCTTGGATTCTGCTGCTAGAGCATGGTGAGTCTGTTGTGTGCATTTCTCCTTTGGCTGGCGCCCGCTGCTGGGTGTCGGGGCGCGGCGGCGGCGCGCGCGGACCCCTCGTGAAAGGCTGACCGCGGCCCCCAGTTGCTGGGCTCAAGCCAGGTCAGCGGCGCCGCGCTGGCTGCTCGTGCGTTCTGCGCTCGTCAGTGCCCCGGGTATGACCGGCGGTAGAGGAGCGCTAGGCCTAGGCTCTACGCACGATCGCGAGGCTTAAGCCCGCGTGTGCCCTTGGGCCCTCCTCGCAGCGCTGGTTTCGGATCGCCCGTTATGGGCCGCGCCGCGCCGTGAAAGCTGAGCACGCGGCGCGCCCGCGGCAAACGATGTGCGCGGCATGAGGGGGGGGGGGGGGTCGGTCTCCTGTCCGAGTGGTGTCGCGTTTCTCAAAAAAAAAAAAAAAAGCAAATAGGGGTTTGCCCCGCGACCGCAGCGACGTCGGTGGCCCGGAGGACAGCTTCCGCGTGGCGTCCTCCGTTTGTGTGTGCGGCAGTTATGTCAGCAGTCGAGCCTTGAACGAAGGGGGGGCCGACCTTGCACGCCTTGGAAGCGCCAAGGCGACTCGCCTCGTCATGGGCGACCATGTCCCGAGGGCGCGCTCCCAAAAGGGAACGGGCTCGATCAAGGCCGGCCAGTTTGCCGCACTGTCCTTGTGTAATGTGGTATCCTTGGAGGCGCAGTTTCGCGGAGGCCCTCGCGCGCTGCTGCCGCCGCTTCCGCCGCCGAGCTCCCATGCGGACCGCCTCGGGGACTCCAAGCCATGAGGTAAGCGCGCGCGAGCGAGGTTTATTTCCAGGGCAGCCCGAATTAGCGGCGCTACCCGCCCCCCTAGAAATAGACGCGCGTCGCGCGGCCGGTCCCCGGCGGTGCTGCGCGATGAGCAACCTTGAAATGCGCGCCGCCAGCACCACCGGTGCGAACCCGCCGCTTCTTCAGCCGATGGTCCGGTACAGCCCTTGACATTCGGACCCTCTAGCATTCGAAACCGCCGCCGCCGCGCGAGCTCCCGGCCTCCCCCCGGCGTCGGACCTTGGGCGCCGTTATCGTGGGGCGGCCTTGGCGACTCGTAATCGAGAGAACCCCGCGCAACGCGTTGTATGTGTGTTGGATCGCGCAGGCGTCGCAGCGGAGCCGCTGCCTCGTCGTGGTACTGCCTGCCCAGCGGCCTGCAACCGATGGTGGCGTGCGGCATACCGGCCAGCTGTAGCCTTCCCCAGCTCTCACGGGACTGCATGCCTCTGGTGGGTACCCAAGCCAAGGTCCGGCGCGAAACAACCAGCAGCAGAAGCGCGCGCTTCCGGTCCGCCCAAGGTTGGCCGCCTGTGACGCCGCGCGCGCTGCTGGTTGTTACGTCAGGGCCGCTCACCTTGGCCGCCGGCGTTTGTAACGTGCGCTTGTTTTTCTTCCGTGTGTGTGTGCGCAGGATGAATTCCATCCATTCATTGAGGCCCTCCTGCCTCATGTGAAGGCCTTCTCGTACACCTGGTTCAACCTCCAGGCGGCCAAGCGCAAGTACTTCAAGAAGCACGAGAAGCGCATGAGCTTGGACGAGGAGCGCCGCTGCAAGGAAGAGCTTCAGGTGCGGACTCGCGCGCTCGGCGAAAAGTCCTTGACACAGAGCCGCCGGGCAGCCGCCCTTCGCCTCGCTGCTTCCTACATATCCCCCACAACCACCACAACTTCCCTCCCAAGCGACACTGCCAAGGTCCTCGCCCCCCTCGCCACACCCTCCGCGCGCAATCTTGAGCATGCTGGGGCCTATCGGCTCGTAGTAGCCGCCCCCCCCCCCCTTCCGCGCGCGCGGTAACAGCTCTTCGGTTGCCTTCGGAAAAAACAGCACTTCGCCCAGAGGCCTCGCGTCAGTGATATTGTGGTTATATATTAGCAAAAAACGTGCTACGTTGCGTCGATTGACCCTCAGTCGACGAGATACACTCCTACGGAGTTGCGCGTACTTGATTATACGCTTCACACGATGCCTAGTGTCAGGGTGGTGATATCAAAACGCACAAACCATATATGTAACTGTGACCCCGACTGCCGTTAAGTTTTATCTAAGCGTGTCGACAAGGAAGTGAGTCTGCTGTAACACGAAGGTCGTGGGATCGAGTACGTTCGCGACCCTGCCGGTAGGGGGCGTTACGTACGCGCACAGGAATTAGAAAGTAAGTCCGAGAAGCCGCATGCAAATCAGAAGTTGAGGTCACGCCCTAGCAGTCGTGGAAAAAGCGCGCCCCCGCGGTCGCTTACCCCGCATCTAGCTGGTGTCCGTCCAAGTGGGTTGTGGGCCACTTGATTCCACCTTGAGTGTTTGTGCATAAATTTTACAGCGCTTGCCAAAAAACACCCTAACCTCTCCCCCCCTCTCCCCACTAAATTTCGTAATGCTGACCGGCTCAAAGGGTCTTAAAAAAAATAAAAGAAAAAGGTCGCCAAGAATGCTGCTCTCACTCAAACGTTAGCCGAGGTCTTTCACTTGTGCCCATGAATATTTGCCAATTGGCTGTGACAGTCTAAGAAAACTCATGCTCGAGCCCTCTTTGAAGTCGTTGACCTGTTTTTATTTCACGCACTTTTGTTATGCAGCACTCTTGTTTTTCTTTAACCTGCTAACATTGTGGAAGATAGACTGCACATCACTCGTGAATGAATTAGCTTGCTCTTTGTACAAAACTTAACTTTTTTTTTTGCTATCTCAAGCAATGTAGTGGTATAATATTATTGACATGATGGCATAATTTTACACTGTACTCATCCTAATTTATCACACAATTCCATTTATAAAATGGCATATTTTCAATTGCTTTAGCTAGGCTACCTGTGTGCATTATATATCATTCACCATGGTTCATTTTTGCTGAATGCTAGGCAAAAAGCTCATATGTACCTTGAGCAGTGCAAGTTCATTCTCACTAACATTATTATTGAAGATCTGCTGCTTGGATGATGCCATTTAACTCTTCTGCTATGAGCAATTGTGATCGTCATTTAAAGTGATGCACTGGAGTATGATCAAAGCATTGAGGCAAATTCAGTGCAAGCACCGCTTTTAATACACTGCATTTGATTGTACCACATCTTTTTTAATGTAGGGGTGTCTGCAATTATTTTTTTTACTGTAGTTATGAATATATGTAGAAGAATTTCAAAATAGGTGCTTGACCACAAGGACTTATATTACTACAAAACAGCAGTCGTTTTTCAGCATTACTAGTTTTCATATGCACCAAGATGCGGTGAATCAGCGTATTGTATTGTAATGTTCGATTACTACACTTGATGGGAACTTACTACAATCCCTTAGATGCCCTCGAAATTATCCAGAGTGATTGTGCCAAGTAATTTAATGCCAACAACTTGCCTCGGTTGTGTTTCTTGGTCATCATCGTTACTGGTACACTTTTTCTCCTAAATTTGTTTTAGGATGTTTATTTTCTTAGGTTGCTGATTTAGCCATACAATGATCAGCATCCCACTCGAGATGGTTGAGTACGTACGTGCATGTCACGCTTTGCCCGTTGTATTTTCTCATTGAGCACTGTAAAGTTTGTAGGCTAGTGAATCTAGTGAACTTGGCAGGCATGTTAAAGTACTCCTGTGGTTGCAGACCTCTGGCACCACCACAATTGCTGTGCATCTCGTATGCCGTTTGTGTTTGCAGTGAAGTTGGGAAGTGATAGTGCTGTAGTAACAGCCGTTTAGTATAAGGGGTCCAACTCAGCGATGAAGTTATAAAACCTAATTGTTATGCTATAGTTGCGCCTCACGTAAAGGACCTTCAGAACATTCAATATTTATTAGAACCATATACAGTATATATACAATAAAAGTTCAATTCAAACTGACGCCCCAGTTCCAGCACAGCCCTTGAAATTTCTACAGGGGACAACTCCTGATAACTTGGACAGGTCGGTATCCACAATGCTTAATTCAAATGGGGAACCCCAGGTTTACGTTCCTCCACGAAGAAGTCTGCCTAGAGTGAACACAATATGTTGGAAAACGAAATTAAATTTATTATGGTACTCATGGGGTTGCGACAAAAGAGATACAAGCAAATTAAAATTACTAAGTGTTTTTATTGAACTAATGTGACTTTGGTCCAGAGAACACACAGGGAAGACCCTAATTTACTTTTCATTTCGAATACACTAACTCTACCATTTAAATGAACGTGTGTTGGAGCAAAAATAGCGTCACATATTTCAACATTAAGGCTCACTACTCACATGAATGTATGCCAGTGTTTGTTTCTCGTGTATCATTGACTGATTAATTAATTCTGTTTTCTGTTGACAGCTAATCAAAGAAATCACCTGCCACAAACATGTAGTAAGGTGTAATTTGCTATAATGAGTCCCAAGGTGGCTTATTTGGGTTCTACCTTCGCAGTGTGGTGCAATGTTTGTGCATTTTAGCGCCTGCCCACTTGTTCAAACTCCGATGAATTCGCACAATGTTGTAGTCCTCCTCGGCTATGAATTGGCAAGCAGACACTGCACTTGTTATGTTGATATCATTGCAGGAATATATATTTAGCTCACTTTAAATAATAGTTCAATATATCTTTGATTGTTGCTTCAGTTCTAGTCTATTCAGCCATTATGGTAGGCTAAATGTCTAGTTCAGTACTTAGGCCAGCCTCATGGTAAGCAAGACTCGTCATCAGTTCTTTGTTGGATTGTACATATAATGTGACAGTGCCTGTGTCTGGTTTACAGCCAGTAAAATGCACCATATTTGAAGGTAAATTGAAAAGACACTGAATTGTAACAATGAATCTATTTAGATTGATAAATTGAACTCTAGTAAGATTCATAATTAATTTCGCCATCATAGGTGTATCAATAGAGGAGAGGTCAAAGTTTCATTTCTAATTTTTGCACCGAAATCAATTCATTTGGTGTCATACATTTCGAAAAATATTTTTCGTGTTTTGACGATCTTCGCTCCTAAAAGTTTGATATGTTATGTCTGTGGCCCTCTCAGAGGACAGTGCACCTCATTTTTATGGGTTAGGGACCATTCCAGGCCTAGCAGGTGCCACCCGCATATACGTATATAGATGTCGTGACGTTCCATTCCAGGCCTGGCAGGTGCTACCGACATATACGTATATAGATGTCGTGATGTTCGGTGCAAGAATTTCAAGGAGGCAGTTGTCACCTGCAAGATCTTGTCTTCGCGCATTTTATTACTTACCAAGCATTCTTGCATGGCAACCATGGTACTTTTGGCATTGTGAAGTAGTCATTTACTAATGTTAGACAATTCTTTTTTCTCTTTGGTGTCTTTTTAAACATGGCTGTGTATGCAGACTATTTTCACACTTGAACACCTTGAAGTTGTAAAGTTATTACAAAATCTCTTAGCATGTCTCAGCGGCATTGTTGATTCGACTTCCACACCACATGAAATTTTAAGAGTGCTTATTTAATAGCCAAATGTTTCTTCGTTTTCTTGCTTGCTTGTTTTCATTTACCTCTGAAAAAGTGTAGGCGAGACTTTTGAAAGAGGGTGTCACTATGAAAAACTATGATTTAAGAATTTACTGTCTTTAAAGTAATAAATGGGATAATTACCAGATCATGCACAGTGCATTGTGGAGTAGCACCCATTATCTTTTGCCATCTCGAGCTTTTTAGTAAATTTCTTCATCCTACTTCCAGCTAAAATATAGATTTTTCATTTATCATAACTGCTTCTTTTTGTTATTAGTATTGCATTCCTTCAAGTTAAAACAGGTCATGTGGTTCTACTTATAATAATTTTATGCTGTTATATTATAACAACTGTGAATATTACAAGAAAATTGGGCATATTTTAATGCACTGCATACAATTATTGGATGATTGGTCTTACTAAATCGATTGTCTGCGGCGCATTTCATGATTAAGTTGAATTGCTTTATTGAGGGGGGTATTGGCAGAACTACAAAGGCTTTTTTCGATTTTACCATGTTCACTACAATTAATTTATCCCACAAAAATAGTAGTAGTTTTAATACTTCAGTTTTTTAGCTATCTGTAAGTCTATGAAGAGTGCTGATGTTCATTGAATGAGTGAAGCTACCTAATTTGTTGTTTAACACAGAACAGAGCTTTACAGACAACATTGGAATATCGATGAAGCACGCAATTTGCATAACTTGTCTTGCAATTGCAAAGCAGTCAGTGCTGCTGTTTTGCAGCAATGCTTTTTCAACACTAACACCTTTTAGTGTTTGGTCAGCAGTCTGCGTAAAAGCTCACTCGTGTTATTCCCAAAGTTACGTGCTCCTCTGTGGTGGACGATAAAGCTTGCTCAGAATCAAGCACAATGGTAATACAGTGGTTCAGTAATCCAATCTAAGGCACAGTCTTAATGTTGAGCAGTCTTTTCATTCTTCGTATGCATTGTATCCTCCAATGGGGGAGAATGAGCTTCATATAACATGAGCCCTCAATTACATTGGGATATGTCTCAGAATATGCGAGTGCTCAGCCATACTGATTCACCACTAATTTTAACTGTCCGTGTTTATGCACTCCCACAATCTCACCTTCATTCTCTTGCTCACTGATAATTGTACAAGTTTATAGCCACTCCAGTTCACACTAACCAGCATTAACTTAGGCTCACACTGATATTCCACCCAAAATTGTAGATGACTTGCGTTTCCGGTTCATATTCACTTGCACCCTTTGTCACTCACCAGTGCTCGTATTACTTCTGTAAAGTGAGCCTGGAGGGAGTGAAAGTCAACGTACTTGTGAACTTGTGAAAGGTTTTTGGACAATAAATGGCACTGCGATTTGAGTTACCCTTATCTGTACTCAAACTAGCTCCCCTACTCCTCCAAAAAGTGTGGTTGAGTTAAGAGTGAGCAGCAAAATGCACATGAAAACCTCATAAATGACAGACTGGTCCACTTGTCGTAACGATGGCTACTGTGTTATTCTACACAGCGTAGGATGACAGTCTATAGTGAGTCCAGGATGACCACCTAAAGCTCCCATCACTTTGCATTTCTTCATGCGATAGCATTAGAGAGCTCGTGTCGCAGAAATTCCGCCTTCGGTGTCGGCACTGTTGGTTGTGAGCGAAAAATTGTTCGTGAACGAGAAATCGAGATAGAAGCCAATAAAATAAAGTATAAAATTTTAGGTCCCAGTGAGGATCGAATCCGGGATGTTCGTGTGGCAAGCAGATGGCCTACCACAAAACCATGATGTTAATTGCAGCTGCTTCGGGAAAAAAAACGCTACCTAAATGCCGTGTAGTGGAAGGAGTCTCCTTAACGCGTTTCGTTCTACAAGAATCACGACGAAAACGAGCCCATTCGTCCATTTGTAGGCACATTTGGGTGGCCATCAAACTACGTCGAAAAAGGCCAGGATAAACGCACAGGAACTTTCAAAGAGCTCTAAAAATAGACAACTATGTCCATCTAGCGGAAAACATGTCATGTCTTTCCAGAGGCTTAAAGGAGGCAATGCGTTGATCAAGCAAACAGCAAAGGCTAGATGATGTGCTGCCATCTGTGAGGCATTGTGAGACTCTTTATGGCTGTTGTAGGCCCGTGTACTCAGATTTGGGTGCACGTTAAAGAAGCCCAGGTGGTCAAAATTTCCGGAGTCCTCCACTACGGCGTCTCTCATAATCAAATGGTGGTTTTGGGACGTGAAACCCCACATATCAATCAAGACTCTTTATGGCAGAGGGATGGGGCCATACTGCACAGTCACTGCATTACTATAAATACATCGCACTTGCGCGTGCATGCGTTTGTGTGTGTGTGTGCATGTGCATGTGTTTGTAACAAAACATATTAATCAGTATGCATTTAGCGGTTGAAGGGTGCACTAGGGCCGGATTTCGCTATTGCATTCAACTTTTAAAGGCGAAGCTTAAGGGTCCCTCAATTTTTTTATTTCACTCTGTTCAGATTGCACTCATAAATGTGCATGTTAGCTTACGCACTATGACTTTTCGTCGAGCACTAGTGCCGTTAAAACTTTACATCTCAAAACCACAATATGGTTAGGAGGCACGTCGTAGTAGAGGGTTTCTTCAACATGCACCTAAATCTAAACACATTGGTCCCTTGTGTTTCTCCCAAAATTCAATCCTATGACCTTTAGGACAGGACCATAACCATTATGGCGGATCATGGAGCACAAGTGTAGCTGTCTAGATCAACGTGCGTGTCCCTGTTTCTTCGAGAGATTCGGTCAGTGAGCAGCAACTGGAACTGCTGACATGAAGAAGGATGTCCTGCGACTTGTTTGCCCACAGGGGGAGCGTCCAGAGGTGAAACAGAAGTGGGCCTCTCGGTTACTAGGCAAGCTTCGCAAGGACATCACGCAGGAATGTCGCGAAGACTTTGTGCTGGGCATCACGGGCAAGCGGCGGGCCGCCTGCGTCCTAAGCAACCCTGACCAGAAGGGGAAGATGCGACGCATCGACTGCCTACGACAGGCCGACAAGGCAAGTGGGGCCATGCCTTTCGTTCTTTCTGTAAGAGTGGCATAGATAAGTAGAATGTCTGTGAGAAGTAAGCAACAATGAAGCCAAGGAAAGTATAGGGGAAGTGTGAGCGTGGATGAAAAGAACGAGAAGACAACTGCAGTGTGGCAGGCGAGGACAGAACATGCAACGTTCAAAGAATGCGTGACGTGATGGCAGCAGGCAAAAGAAAAAGTATGTTCCGCACTTGCCGTCAAGGCTGCAAGCAGCACTGACTAACGCTCTTCAATTACCTGTTAAACTGTACAGGAAGAATGCTGCCGTAGCTCCGTTTGGTATGGCACCGAACATGTCACTCGAAGGTTTTCAGTTTAGTCCCTGCTGGAGACAGGCAGTCTTTTGTCCACTTTAATTTCTTCACACTTGCATTGTAATTACTATAACTAATATTCCCAATACTTTGCTTGGTTTGATTGTCTGTTAGTTCTGATTAACCTTGTGTCCGAAAAAGCAACATGACCCCTTATACATACCTTGTTTTGTTTATCAATCAAGTAGAGAATGAACTTCTGCTGTGTTAGCAAGTTATCGTTATGTGATACAGAAAAATACACAGTTCAGTGTATTTCCACATCAGATAGGAAACAATAGAGCGATAACAACAGCAGTTTTGTGGGTTGAAAGGCCTAATAATTAAGGCTGGACAATGGTTTTCACTCTGTTTAACACATAGCAACAGCAGCAGCTGAGTTCATGAAATCACGAGTTTTATACAATACGAAATGCATTTGTGAGTGTCGATGTGTGAATGGTGCTGATTGCATTTTAAACACATGTTCATTGCACATAATAAATGAAAACAGAACCTCAAAAAAGTTGACTGTTGGGCGAGTTGATGCTTCGACATCGAAACCATCGTAAAAACGCAACACAACGCACAAGACGAAAACAGATGAGAACAGGTGCACACCACCAACCTGCTTTATTAAGAAATGATGTGCACCTTCATGCATCAACACTGTCCAGGTGCAGCGTCTTGATGAGCGGATCTTCCTTCAATAAAGCCAGTTGGTAGTGTGCACCTGTTTTCGTCTGTTTTTTTTCTTCTGTGTCGTGTTTAGTTGCACGTTCATGATGGTTTCTTTGAAAAGAGAATCCTTGTAGAAAGTTACAGCCTTGTAATGTAGGAGCAACTCAGCAGTCCACAAACAATTCAAAAGTGAATCACAATGCTATCTTGATGTTCGGGCAGCAATTCACAATGAGATCGTGAATTTATGCACAGAGTTTACAATTGTGCAAGATGGAATCATTTCATTACAGCCAAGAGGTGAACTTGTCAAAGTTCAAGGACTAATGCTCAGCTGCAATGCCCAATGCTTTTAGTGCTTAAATTTTCAAAGCTAGAATTTTTGCAAAAAAATTCAGAAGCTCAGCTTTCCATTTCAGTTCTTCTTCTATAATGAGTTTATTACTATTGAATCATCAATTCGAAGTTTAAGAGAAATGCATTATCAATCTGTCAATTTGCTGTTTCACATTAGCATTGGATACGAAACATTCAACATAAGTGGGAACTTTGTTGCAACTATACTACAAACGAATATGTTATGACAGAGTAGTGCTTGCATAAATGTAGATGTCAACAAAGCTACAAGGCTGCTATGATCAAATTTTTTTTTATTGAGCTAGCTGTCAAGTATTACATTTATGGAACTTAGTATTTGTCAAATTCAATCTAAATGTTATCACAGTGCTTGAAAAATCTTTAAGATTTCAGAGGTGGCATTTAATCTCGGGCATCATTCTAAGGTACCATGCTGGTTTTTTTGCTCTGGGTTGTGTAGAGCTTACAAAGCTGTAGTCAATTTTTTTTTTACATTTTACTGTCAAGCATATTTATTATTGTATTTGTTTAGTGGTTCAAAAATATACGGAGGTTACTGTTTAGTATATCTGCACTGCACTACAGCCTTGTGCTATGGGATGCTTTTGTTACGTACTCACGCATAGATTTCGTGCATAAGTGAATAATTGATTGATTGACAGACGTGAAACTAGGCTTTCTGCAAAATTCACGACTGCTCGACATTAATTTTTAATTTTAGACGTAATGGTAAAGCAGCTGCTCTTGCTACAACTGAACGTGTGGTCCAAAAAGAAAGTTGTAGTGATGCATCTAGTGGCTCCATTCCCGACCATACAGCATTAACTTTCCTTTACTTCGGGAAGTCAAACACTACATATTAAAGTTTAGTTGTTTGTTTATTACCAAGGAATGATCATTGTACACTGAAGTCTTGATGAAACAGTCTCAAGGGACTACTAAAAATCATTCATTAGTTTAAAAAGTAGTAGTGAAAGCATTAAAAATTTGTGCAGAAATCGTAAATGCAATCATCTGAGTCTCTTACCTGTGCTGTGTATGCATTCGCGACCGCGTTATGCTCTAAAAAGCACGAAAAAATAAACACAGATTACAGAACCAGTGCACGTTTATTCGAGAAAGAGTGCGATCTATCCTGATGTGGGCAGCTCGACTACTGACAGACGAACTCTTGAGCGTGCACGTTATTGTTATGCATGGTGAAGCATCGATAATAAATAGAAATTCTTCACGTTAGTTCGCACCTTTCCAAGATAGATCTGCTCCAACACAAATGCATAGAGAATGCGGGGTTTCTCTCATCAAAAGCGATTCTCCAGGTAGGGCATATGCATTGATGTTGCAAGTTTCACATCTGCTTTTCATGTCCCTAATGTCTTGAGTTATCGCTGACCAGAACATCAAAAGCCTTGCCTTCGCGAGTCATTTGTTTATACCTAAGTGGCCTTCATGCATCTGACTAAGCATTTCTGATCGTAATGACCGTGGTATGACCACTTTGGCTCCTTTGAATAACAGCTTTCCAGTGACCGACAATTCTGAGCTGTAAGCTTTGTACGGACCCGTAAGCAGTTGCTCCTGTTCAGATTAAATAACTCTGATCACATCTGAAAGAATTGGATCTTTTGCTGTCTCTTTGACCAGTTTCGCGCTGGTTTTCTCACTGACCGGACTGGATCGGACCGATACTGCATGTACGTCCACATCGTTGTCTTCGTCTTCTGTCACGTTGAAGTGGGGATTTGGAGCCCTAGATAGCATGTCTGGCAGGACTAGAAGTTTACCCGGAGCATAGGCAAACTGGTATTCATATCTCATCAGTCGGAGGAACAGGCGTAGTTGGGGAGGCATGTCACCAATACATTTTTTATATCGAAATCAATGGCTGATTATCTGTTTCTATGAGCACTGTTCGCCAATATGTAAAGTCGTGAAACTTTTCACAGCCATAAACAATGCCTAACGCCTTCTTTTCAATTTGCGAGTATCGTTTTTCGCATTTTGTGAGGCGCCTTGAGCTATATGCCACTGGTCGCCAATCTGAGCTATGCTTTTGGAAGAATGCTGCGGCAAGCCTGAATCCTGAGGCGTCAGTAGACACTATCTTGTACGACGTTGGAACGCATCCCAAGCCGCGCAACAAGTTCTGGTAGTCTTTCATGACGAGTTGCCTTTCCTGGTCCAGCTCGAGACAGCACAGCTGGTACTTCCGCGGTGCGACACACGAGCTCAAAGTCGTCACACGCAGCAATTTGAGTAGGGCACATTTTTTTACCACCACGAAAAATTTCAGGCTCACAGTCTTGCCTTGGTACGTAACTGAGATCACAACTGTTCGGAGATGCTTGATGGCTTGATAGCTGTAACTACGTAGCGTTACTTGCTCTTCTGAAGCTCGTACTCCTGGCATCCGAAATTCTTGAGCCAACACAGAGGGATCAAGTTTACGTGTGATCCTGTGCCTACTTTGAACTTCACTCTGCCATTTTTCACAGTTGCACTTATCATACATTCCGAACTCTTGCTGGATTAAACTTGCAACACTTCATACTGTGCGTTCGTCGAGTTGCTGCCCGTCTCTTTGACATCATCTACCACTTCCTTCGTTCTGCAGGCTACTGCAAAATGATTCTTTCAGCCATATTTTCTGCATCATTGACTGTACGCCTGGCATTTTTTGAGTTCATGCCATCTCTTGCACTTGTTGCAAGCTCTTTGGTTCGGCGTCTTGTCTTTGCTTGACACTTTTTCTTTGCTGACGGCTTCGACAGCTTTTGTTTCTGCTTCTTTCCACTCTTTTTCTGATTTGCTGCTCTTTCTGCACAATGTCCTGCTTTATTTATTTATTTATTTATTTATTTATTAGAATACCCTCAGGGCCCGTAGGGCATTACAGCATCTTCCAGCGATAGCCAGTCCTCTCTGAGTAGGCGCTCTCAAAGCTAGTTGTGAGCAGTTTCGAACACAATTTGATCCCATATCATTGATTTTCGCCAAATTCCGAAATTGCCACTCTGCGCTTTTAACTGCAGGTCTCCCAAGAAGCTTTCAAAAGATTCGCCATCCGCCTGGACGTGCTTCCAAAACGAGTACTGTTCGAAAGTATCATTCGTGCGAGGCTGGCAATAGCTTTCAAACTTTTGAAGAACCGTGTCATAGCTCTTCTTCTATGTCATCGTGCACTCGAAAGTGTCGGACACTTCAGTAGTTTCTGGCCCTGCGACATTGAGTAGCAACGCCACTTTCTGCTTCTGACTGCGTTCCCACTCGCTTTCTGTTGCTTCGAGGTAGAATTCAGAACGTTGACAAAACTTACGCCAGTTCTCGGCGATATTCCCAGAAAAATATGAGATGGTCCGGCGGGCGTAGTCTTTTCATGGCTTGAAGAAACAGGGACATCGTTCACTTCCGACACCATGTAACCGATGCTAGTCCCGAGTCATGCTATGAGAACAGACGCACCCGGACTTGAGAGACCACACAACACTGTGGCACCTGTAGCGTCTCATAAGCAAGTGCCGGTTTATTGTTAGACCATTTGTAGGGGATGCAGCCCAAGGTTGCTGGACAACTATATGTCTGCTGCTCGAGGCTTATAGACTTTTTGACAATTACTAGCTTGGCAACCTAGCCAAGAGTGCTGTGACAGCACATTTTAAGCAATTTCAGAAAATTAAGAAAAGTGATTCAAATAAGGAAAAAAAAACTTTCCACAATATAAGCATTCATGGTTATAGCATTCATGGTTATAAAATTCATGGCTATAGTGGATGTTGAATAGAAGAAAGCTAGTATTTCTGAACTGCATGTGTAGATTCACTGCAATCAGACTCAACTGTACAGATGGTTAACATATCACCTACTAGAATGCTAAAAAAAATTTTTTTTTTCTGGTATTAGTAATTAGTACTCGACAATACCAAAACTACCATACGCCCTGCTAGAAAATGCTTGTCAAGTGAGAAGACATGCTTGAAAAAATTGTGGGTGGTGAAGCCACATTATTGTTACCACACCAGTTAGCATAACATCGTTGACTTTGATGACATCTACTAATGCCTCATAGCTCTTAATCAGTAGTAATTGAGTACATTTTCTTGTGAGGTGGCCATATACTTAGCATATGCCAGACTGCAGGAATTTCGGTTGAGCCAATGAAGGGAAAATACCAAAAAAAAAAGCATTTTGAAATTTGTGATGCAATCATTGGAGATTTTGCTAAGCCCTCCCATTGTTTATACTTTTGGGCCTCCTGAAAATGTAGCACCTTCATATATGTATTGTGTTCTGCGATTCTTTCTTAATAAACTTGAAACTTGAACTTTTAATTGAAACTTGCGACATTGATCTCTTAATCTGTTGATCACCCTGTAGTGACGGAGTCAAGGAAACGAGGGTTTTCAGAGTATAACTTATCGGTCTAAACTAACTTTCATTATAAAAGTGAAAAGTAGGGCACAGTACATAATAGGGACTACAGAAGAAAATATCGATACAGGTAGACAAATTAGTGCTCGCTTTGCCAATTTTTTATTTCTTCTTTAAGAGGGCTCATTGTGGCTGAGGATGAAGTTTGTGAAGTAGAGGTTGAGCTCTCATGCAAGTTGAAGTTTATACAAGGGCAACACATATATAGCTTCTTGTTAATCACAAAGAATGGTTTCTCTCACATAAAAAACAGAATGACTATGCCCAATAGCTGAAAAATCGGGGATGTGTGATGAATCTTAATGTGTACTATAAATGTGTTGCCTCTTCAATAAACTTCCAGTTGCAAGTGTGCACCTTGTTGTGAGTGTGCCTCGTTGTTCTCTTCTATAGTCAGTACTTGGCCCCACGTTTGGCATTTAAAATAAATCATTACCGATCTACCAAAATGGCTGCTTTGCTTAACTAAATTATTGCTTCACTTTAGTGTTTAAGTGAACTAAGGGTTCCTTGGCCTTAATCTACGTTGGATTCCACATCTGAGAAAGGGTGATGCGTGCATGTTGATTGAGAGAGGGTGAAAGATTGTTCATTAGTAGGGACGGTCGTGAGTGCAGGTATGGCGCCTAGACCTGGTGATGGTGATCCTGTTCAAGGCGGTGCCCCTGGAGAGCACTGATGGTGAGCGGCTGGAAAAGGCTCCTGACTGCCACCACCCTGCCCTGTGCGTCAACCCATTTCACATCAACGTGTCCGTCCGAGAGCTCGACCTCTACCTCGCAAACTTCATCCTCAGCCACGGTGAGCCCCTCTTGAAAAAAAAAAAATAAATGAAGTGTGCAATAATCCTTCCATGACTTGAAACACTCAAATTGGACAATTCTGAAGAAGTTGCTTCCAAGTTGGTGCAGGTCCTAGGTTGCTTCTTGCTTGTTGCTAAGCTTCGTGATGCTAGTTTATTTTTTAGGTTGCTTCTCAGTACAAAAGTTTCAGTTAAACCGTGGACAGTCACACACACAACACGGAACTCCAGAAAAGAACGTTTGCAATTTTCATTGTGAGACTGCACGTAATCTGGCAACCTTGTGCTGCACATTGATCTAGTCGTGACGCTGTTTCGTAGTTGTTCCTAGACGCGTGTGTGCTCTATGACTGCATTGATCCGTAGCTCTTGTTTATTAAAGTCGTTTTCACTTTATCGCGGCCTTGTCTAAGTTGCTGAGTCATCACATTTGGCGCAGTCGTCGACGAACCATGCCTAGGAAACCATGCCTAGGAAGCCGGAGCCACTTGTCCACTTCGTGTGAGTTGGTGTTTTGTGCTAGCTGCCCGCCTCACTGCCTTTACCTGCCCTAAGCCTTCTTCGATCTTGCCCGCCGATTCATCAACTGCAATGCCATTTATAAACTGGAAAGAGGCCACTGTGGAAGACCTCCACAGGTTCACAGCAGACTTTATACACCATGAACTTTTGGGCCGTAACCTGGAGACGACTGGCTCAAAGAAAAAAAAATTAATGAACGCTTGCTTCATGACGTTGCCCACAACCGTCAACCGCCTGGTGGGCCCGACGCGACAGCTGAGCAGTCGCTTTCAAGTACGAAAATGCTGAGTGGCTTACTACAACAGTTTTTGACGTTGTCACAACGGCCGATGGTTCCAGTCTGAGTTCCTACGTTGCCTGACCTCTTGGCTTCACTGCCAACCTTTAATGATGATGGTAGCATTCCAGCAGACCAATGGCTTGAAGAGCTCGAGCGTACCCAAGTATTGGCGTCATGGACACCGCCTACTCTTCTCGCCGTAGCGCTTGGTAAGCTATGTGGCCCTGCTGCAGATTGGAAGAGTGTGGCAGAAAACTGTTTTGACACGTGTTAAAATTTTAAGGCTGCGTTCGAGAGCCAGTTTGGAGGCAAACTTATGCTCTTGCAGTGGCAGCAAATAGTCACCAGACTCGTCCAGTCACCCAGTGAGAGTCTCATTGACTACTCTTTGGCGAAACTGTGCGTAATTTCAAGATGTCCTGTTTAACTGACAGATTCACAGCGCATTGAATATGCCCTACAGGGTGTGCATGACGCACACATGGCAAAAACTATGGCTGCACAGCAGCTACCAACTCTAAGCGCATTTTTTGCCACTGCCATTCAACTCGACCGAACTATACAGCATGCCTCTGTTTTCCCAAGTGAGCCGCCCATTGCAGCCAGATCGTCGACGTTATGAGTGCCTCCTTTGCCTGTGCTGCAGATTGGTTCTAGGAATGACATAGCTTCTTCACAAGTTAATCCGCCTGCTTTATCAGCACCACATCAAATTTCGTCGTTACCTTCGGATCAACAAGACACTCGTTATCTTGTAATGAGTTCCCGAAATGGTGCACCTGCTTATCGCCCCGAGGAAGATATAAGCAATGCCATGTGTTAAAACTGTTGCCAACTGGGTCATCCTACATCGAAGTGCCCCCGTTTCGGAACCAGTGCCCCGCTACCCTGTCAGAAAACAAGTTTTTCTTCTCTGGCGTGCCTTCAACCTTCAGAACCACTCGAAGGATCTCTTGTGCAGTGTTCTGTGATTCAAGCAGACATTTTAGTTATCGGCACTGTAGACGCATTTTCGGAGAGTGGTTCAAAGCACACCATGCTATCGCTAGACGTCACTGGATCTGCCAACCTGCTACCATGGACCAAACCTCCCATATCTGTTGTAGGTAATGGTACCATCATGCCAGCTGGTACATTATGTACTCGTATCGCTGTGGGGCCTATTTCGGCAGTACTTGAAGTTCTAGTTCTGGCTAAAAACCCCTTGCCTTTAATCCTCGGAGAGGGCTGGTTTGAGGCAGCATGCGCTAGGCTCCTTGTTTGACTGCCTCATCCAACAGAAATTCGCCATCCCAGCACGGGTGTTGCTATGTGATGCCTTGAGAAGCTGCCGCCAAGAATGGCTAATGCTGTTGTGTGTTCTAATAGCTCCATGCATTTTTTTACACCAGCAACGTCTTCTACAGTCTGTTCGCCGTTTTTGCCGGTGCTGGACAACACTCAAACCCCATGCTTACCCGGCGATCAAAGTAAAGTGACTGAGCGGAAACCATATGAATCGAAGGACGCAACGCTTTGCCTGATGGATGCTACATTGGACATGCCATGGCACTGTTGTGCTCAGATGGTCCCCCAGCAATAAGAAATTATTGCAGTTAACGACGTCTCGCATCAGCCTATTCACCTGTTTGCCACAAATGATGATGATTTAAGGCTCTACAAAGGGGCTGAGCATTCCACAGACCTTTTGCTAGATGCATAGCCATATAAAAGTCAGTCATGTAGATGGGGCAAAAAGGATCGCGATTTCATGGAGCGCCAATGTCAAGTTTTTCACGCTCAAGGCTCGGTCACTAAGACGGCACAGCTAGAACAAGGACTGTACCAGACAGCGAGCCAGCTGCTGCAGTCCAAGGACTTGAAAACGAAGAAACAATGGAACGGCAAGGCAAGTATTCATTCAGCCGCACGGGAATTTGTCAGTTCTCTGGGTGAGCTTCGAGAGTATCTCAGCCATAAGATTGAGGCCCTCCAAAGTAAAAGACCTGCAGAAAGTAAGCGCCTAAACAACAAACAAGCCACCAAGCCAGCTGCTAAGCCAACCCAGAATAAGCGACACAAGCTGAGTCAAGAAAGCCTAGCCGCTGCGAGCAACACGTAAGCGGGGAAAAACACCACACAAAGCAGCTGCCTTCTACCATGACCACTACGTTGTCTATAGTAAGCTTGAATTGACTGACCCGTCAACTACTACAAATGCGCAGCCCAAGGTTGAAAAGGAGAAGGAGGTTGTCCGTCAGCCAAAGATGAAGGCGGAAGAGGTGAAGCACATTAAAGAATGTGAAATGTGCAGTGAAAGGGACTCTGGACAAAGAAAAACAGGTCAAGGTCAAAGGTGACTATATTTTAAGGAAGGCAACGCTGAAGTTGTGCGAGAAGCGGCAGCAAAAGTGGCGCAAGAAGTAAGATTCAAGCACTGAGAATGCCAAACAACATTGGATAGAGTGTCACCAGAAACGTCGGGACAACATTAAGGCACGCCAACAGGCCAAGCTTTACACCAAGTTGAAGAGCCTCAAAAAGGAAAACCCTATTGTTCCAAGATTCGCGGACCATTTAGACGTTTTGCTGACTGGAAGATTACGAGACAAAAAAAAACAACAAAAAAACGGGGTGGTATGAAATTAAAAAGCCAATCGAGCATTTCACAAAAAAGAGGGGTTGGATGTGAGACTGCGTGTAATCTGCCAACCTTGTGCTACATGTTGATCTTGTTGTGACGCTGTTTCGTAGGTGTTCCTAGGTGCGTGCGCGTACTCCATGACTGCATTGATGCCGTATCTCCTGTTTATTAAAGTCGTTTTCGCCTTATTGCCGCGTTGTCTAAACTGTCGAGTCCACACAGCATAGATCTATGGGCATGTTGTTGGTGTAGGCCTTCTGTCACTTCAGGGTCTTCTTGCAGCTACCGTTGCCGTTCCCCTGTATTCTCTTGTACGCACTTGGCATCTTTGGCTTGCCAGTGGCGAGTAAAGAGATTGCACCCATTTTTTGTGGCACATACCTGTTTAGACTAGTTTTCTGATAGGACACACAGGTGCATACATTTGTTGATGGTTTTCTGTGGTTGACTCACAATGAGCGATTTGGTGAACAGCTTTGCTGTTTATAAACGCCATGCCTACATTGAACATGCAGCACAGTCATGATAAAAGCTGGAAGAGTGGCCTTACTGGCACTCACTGTAAACTTTCTTGGGGCTAAATATTACAGATACACTTGCATGGTGCCCACTACACCAAAAGTGATAATTTTTGTGAGACAGGGAAAGCACCTTTTGTCAAGCATTTTACAGGGAACCGAGGTATCCATGCACACATGTGACAATAAACAGGGGGTTATGGGCACTTTGTTGATGATGAATCATTATGGCTAAGCCTTTTGTAATGGGGGGAAGCATATATGGCACACCTTTTTTACCACGACACGACGCTTGGTAAGCGAGAAGACATGCGAAAAGAAAATGCTGATGGAGACACCACCTTAAGACTGAAACGCCGTTAAAGGTGTTTACTGGGTCCTGTGTAGCTTTTAAGTATCAAGATGAGTCTGTCAACATGCTTGCCAAGCTACGGTGCTGAATCAGTCAGTTGAAACAGTAGTAGAAAAACCATGCTCAAGCTCACAGTACTAAAAACACAGAATGAACAGCTTTCAGAAACGAAGCTCCCGCAAGATTTATGGTGCTCCGGTTGCCGCTGCTGCAAATTCCAACATTCACAGGCGACATCTCACAGTGGACAGGCTTGTGGGAGCAATTCGAACAGCTCACTCAACAACGATCTGACGTCATGCAGAAAGTTTCATTACCTGAAGAGCTTTGTATTCGGTGATGCATCGACAGCCATTGCAAGTTTCCCCACGACCAAATCTTCCGTCAACGCTATGCATGTTTTGGAAGAAAGATTCGGCGATAAGACGATTATTCAGCACCATCTGATGGCATTGAGAAGTCTTCCGAACGTGGCATCAGCCAGCGACATCTGCGGTTTGTGAAGACTGTGTGATGTCATGCTACTGAATATCCGCTGCCTTAGAGCCCTGAACGTGCCGATGCATACGTATTCCGCTATGCTTGGCAATAGAGGCTCTACCGTGGGACATCAGTCTTTTCTCCACTCATGAAAAATCGCACCGCCCCTTGAAACTGCCATCGGACGTGCGTCCTGCTCAACTGTTTTTGTCCGTTTCACCAGC